CTCACTAGTAGATTAGTATGTACTCCATGGATTTAACTCACATAGCTGACACATGTTATGTTCACTAGTAGATTAGTATGTACTCCATGGATTTAACTCACATAGCTGACAGACGTTATGCTCACTAACGTATATAGGATGACAGTATAGCTTACCTTTGTCTGAGAGTTGCACTTTCACGTTTCGCTTCATTCATCTCCCTCTCAGAAGATCTTGCCAGTAACTAAACAAAGATATAACATAGGGTATTAAAAGACCTTGTCAATACTTATACTGTGAATATTTGTTTGGAAGTCCAGGGATAACATAGTCTACTGATTTGCATTTTATTTTGCTTTGGTGTAAAAATCAATGTTTTAGAAATCTGTATTGTGGTACTTACCCAACTTTCATGTGCTTTTTTCTCATATGAAGCAACCTAATAATATGAACAATAATCTTGTAAAAAGTCTGCTTTTTTCAAAGAGCAAAACACCAGAAAATGTGGATTATGTGAAAATAAATGACACTAAACTATTTCATATTAACCTTTTCACCACCAGACTTTTTCTGCAAAATATTCTTCAATATTTATGGAAATGACTCCAAATTTTGGAGCCAACAGACAAAATTGAGTTAACTTTCAGTCTTTACTCAAAAAAATTGGTTATTTTTGTCCCAATCTTCTGTAGAAAAGTGCAAACTATAAGCGGGACTATTTTTTGAATTTGTGATGAAAAGAGGGAACTGTGACACTTGAATACTATAACATTCTCTTCATGGAATACAAGAATTAGTAAAGTTTATACAGGGCTAACTTTTAGAAACAACTGAGAGTTATCTAAGCATATACAAATATAAGTGTAACGAGGCAGCTGGTGTTTGCATTATCTACAATTCATTCCATATTACGGGTCAATGTACTAAAATAATGCCTGTATAAGCAACAGGTGGATCCTTCATTGTATGAACTCTGACCAACCTGATTGGATGATATTTAATTTATGCACTATTTCTCCAGAACTAGTGGCTGCAATAAATTTGCATGCTACAGGGCAGACTGACATTCCACAAGTTACCCAACTGACTGACGTCTCTATTTCCAGGCTAAGTCACCTGACGACCCTGCCTGTTAGGTTAATTGTGAAACTGCGGACAATCAACAACTGTGGTCTAAGATCGTGGAGTTGTGTAACAGTCATTTTTGCTATACCATAACCTGTCATATGTTATTGAATTAAATACATATTTTTTTTATTTATTCTATGTCATCTCATGTAGTTTATTATAGACAAGTTACATGTCGTTCACGTTTTGTTATCTCCTCATGCCATCGCATGTGTGAAAGCTGCTGTGTGTCCCTATCCTTTCTGTCCATGAGACAGCTTCCATTGAATGGCTGTATCAGTCCCACATGGTTATAGTCGAGTGGATACTTTGCAAACCCCCATTCAACAAACTAATACAGTATACAGATCCATGCAGTGACCTTTTGACACTGATATATCACAGACATGATCCAAGCAGGAGCCAGTTTATTTGTGCATTTTTTTTTGTGCATTTTGAAAACAATATGAAAAAACATGTGTTATATGTATGTACTAAGATGGACAATAACTGCCTATGTATTGTTCCAGTATG